AAAAAATCAACAGTTTTTCCTTGGCCAAAAGGTCCGGGGTAATGCGCTGAAACCTTTTCGGAATTAGGGCTTGCAATTCTTCCTTATAAACAAGGAGTTACTAGTTAACGCGAGTCATAAGCTTGTGAGACAAGGAATATAGATTAAATATGTAAATATCATTAAAAAATAAAACATCATGCTATTCTGTTCTTCTATAATAATCGTATGAATCTTTCAATCTGGAACTGTCGCTGGATTTATCACTACAGCCTAACTTCTATCGCCAAAGCACATCTTAATTTTCTATACAACACCCTTGGAAATCCTATTTTTGTTTCGTTTCGTTTTTCTTCATAATTTCCTATTTTGCACATTTGTTGCACCAATCTATCTGTTTCAATTCCGCTTCAGTTGAAAGAACGGACTAGACCAGATTCGAGCGTGATTTCGATTTACATTCGGCGCGCCGCTCGTACATCGCGCATGCAGGCGGCTTGTTTGTTATTATGTGCTCTCTTGCAACTCTGATGCCCAGGTACCCACGCACCGGGCCGTAGAGAGCGAATGCGAGCATAAATAAATTATCGCGCCCCGGAGTGCTATATGTGGCAGCCGGAGGCAGAAGTTTATCAGCCGGCCGCGTTTACTTCGATCTGGTTAAAATGAAAGTTATTTATGGGATGATGATAATCGATAATGCGTGTCTGAATTAGAACAACTTTATGATTTTTTTTTTTTTTTAATTTTATATGAACAGCGATCAGAACTTATGGGTTCTATGAGCTGTTGAGATTAATATCTTACAAACTACGTTTGTTTTATTACAGATGGCAACCCAAACAGTTGTCACATCTCTGTATGATAAATTTTTATTACAATCTCTGTAATAGGTGCAACAATGCCGGTTGAGGGCTATTTTCACTTGGAAACATATTGCTATCTATATTTCCAAGTGAAAATCGTTGTCAATGTTGCCTGACAACAGGCTGCTCGAAGTGGGTATCGAACCCGAGACCTCTGAAACAAGTCCCGTCGCTCTAAACTGCTTACCTACGGGCGAACCCATTATGATTTATTGCTAAAGAAATTTGTTGATTATTGACAAAATATTGCTTGACCAAACTCTTGAGAAAATACACGCTAACAATTAGTCGAACTTTGCTTTCTACCAAATTAGCAAAATACTGCATTTGCGTTTCCTCGTTAAAACTTATCAGTCTGATGTAGATACAGTGTGTGTCAGAACTCAAAATCAATTCCAAACGGGAGGGTCAGTATTGATCGTCAGTATCATGAATAAAACTATTTCATACACTTTGAAAATTATGAGCTTTGGAAGGAACTTTAAACTTTGTTGAATCTCTGGCCATTTTTTGTTTATTGTGGTTAAGTTTGGGCATTTAAACTTTGGATCCGTAATCGTGAATAACAATTAAAATGAAAGTTATTCATGGGATGATGATAATCGATAATGCGTGCCTGAATTAGAACATCATTATGATTTATTGCTGAAGAAATTGGTTGATTATTGAAAAAACATTGCTTGACCAAACTCTTGAGAAAATACACGCTAACAATTAGTCGGACTTTGCTTTCTACCAAATTAGCAAAATACTGCATTTGCGTTTCCTCGTTAAAACTTATCAGTCTGATGTAGATACAGGGTGTGTCAGAACTCAACATCAAGTCCAAACGGGAGGGTCAGTATTGATCGTCACTATCACGAATAAAACTATTTCATACACTTTGAAAATTATGAGCTTTTGAAGGAACTTAAAACTTTGTTGATACTCTGGTCATTTTTTGTTTATTGTGGTTAATTTTGGGAATTTAAACTTTGGATCCATAATGGCGAATAACATTTAAATAATCGCAGTCAAATATAACAGCACAATGGCCTGAAGGTTTCTAGAAATAGATATTTTTGTTAAGCTATGAATTTAAAATTTTCAAAATGGTTCTTTTTTAGAAGTCTTTCTATAAAAAAATGTACCAAAGTGTTTTTCCAAGTTACATCAATAGTTCATAATAGTTGTATAATAAAAAAAAATAGAAACCTAAAATAACATGATTGTTGCTAGTGTATTTTACTCACAATAAGTTCAAGTGTTTGTTTTGGGGGAAAGCTCAATGTGCGTGAATTACTGATTGTGAATGAAATGCACTAATAAAAATAATGTTCTTTTTAATTTTCATCTTTTTACTCTAATTTTTTATTGAACAGCCAGCGCACTTTAGCATTTTTTTAAGAGATGGCCTCTCAAAGTCGACCAATTTTAAAAATGTATATTCATAGCTTAACAAATTGTTTTAACCGTAGAAAACTTGGTGCACTTGTGTTACTATTTTGGACTCTGACATAGAAATGTTATTTATGGCTACTGATCAAGAGTTTATATGTACCAAAAAATAAAAACTAACCACAATTACTCAAAAATGGTCACGGTTTCAGCAAAGCTCTGGGTTGCACTTAAAAGCTCATAAATTTCAAACAACTTCTGGGACACCCTGTATAGACACACACACACACACACATATATATATATATATATATATATATATATATATCTGTATATTACATTCTTCACTTTTCAGTGAGATTATAAAAACCATTTAAATTTTTCTAAAGGTTGAACCAAGCTTACCCGTTTGCATACGTACTAACCATAATAAACCGTGATATAACAAAATACGCCGTGATTCGTAGAGACCGCGGTATGGATTCGGAATAATCGAAATAAATATAAATGTACCTAGTCAGAATGGAATTCCGTATACGATTTTGGTTCTTTTTTGTATGTTACTCCATTAGCGTATATGTGAACAGTTCTCTATCTTTTTCAAATACATGAGAGGTGTGTCGATATCGGAGTTACCGCAATGAAACGGCAGATGTTAAATCAAGAGTTATTGCTGCTCCTGAGACAGGTCGGAGAATTTACGATGAGCTTGTTTCACATTGGAAGAATGTCTAGTACTACGAATGTTGCGGGAATAGATTTAGTGCCTCTGTCTCATTATTGCAGGGCCATCTTTTTTATCCTAATAATATATTCTGCACTTTCAGAGTACACACACACACACACACACACACACACATATATATATATATATATATGTACACACACACACATATATATATATATATATATATATATATATATATATATATAGGTGGGGTAGGGCGTAGCACAAAGGTCCAATTTGATTTTGAGCAGTGATATTGTGGGAACCATCCCAACATAATAATAAAACAACTAAGTGGCTATGTTCAGTAAAACTCCCAGCTAATTCATTATTATAGAGATATCTTATTTTTCTCTTGTGAGACACTTGTCAACTGGTCTTTTTCACGATTTAGGCGGGGTGAAATGCGACGGCCAGCGGGCAAACAGATCCAAATGATCAAACCGATCTTATTTTTAATTTTGAAGAAATTTTATAAAATAACAGCTGCTTTATTCAACCAATGCCAAATATAAATTCCACGGGTACATTTTCACAGAGATAGCACTGAATGTGCCCTAAATCTGGTATTTCGTCTAAAATATTTATCAACAGATTTAGAATAACTATGTATTTGATTTATTTCTTCTAAGTTTGCTTTTTAAACTGAATTCACATTTTTATTTACTATTTTTTATTATTTACACTTTTGTCAGGGTAAAGTTTCAGCTATTTACTTTTATTCCACAAATGTGTAAAATATTCTTAAATGAAAAACTGTTGAATCAAACTTAAAATAAACAACAGAATAGAAGGAAAATACTTTTGTTATGCATTTTGAAACATTGCCGATCATCTCCTAATAAAGACGTCGTAAAAATCCAGGTAATGTGGCTAATTATACATTTTTGCCCTCTACTTGCAAATATTGTTGAAAATTGTTTAACTCTGTGTGTTTCTGAAATATTGGTGATGGATCTTTTTACCCGTGGACCTTCAAGCTCCGCTTTACCCTATATGCAATATAATAAATATATAGAAAAATATATAGAAATTAAAATATTATTTATTCATTATGTACAATTACTTTAATTCAACGTATTTGTTAATATTGTATGTGTTATATATAATAAATACAGCCTTCATTCGAGACTTTGTAAACACTTATCATATAATACTATTAATATGGAAACTAATTTCACATAATTATAATAAAATTAATAATAATATAGTAATAAATTTCCATAAACACTTAAATTTAAAATGCATTTCAATGTTTTAGTAACAGTAATTCGATATGTATATATTATAATAAATCAAAGACTGTCTTTTTTTAAGACTTATGGCAAGTTTGTTTTTTTAGCGCAGAATATTTATATTTTTTATATCAAAAATTCTAAATTGCATTTTGTCATTTCTCGATTAAACTGACAGTAATGTATTTCTATTATATATCACATGAGAAAGCGAATTTATATATTAAAGATTATAGAATGTTATGCCATTGCAGTTTTTATAAAAATATTGCGCGTTGATTAAGAAATAATATCACAGTCACATTTCGTTATATTAAAAATCAATTTTTATAACTGAATTAAGCTGTGTAATTATTAACTTCTAGTTAAATTTCATCAATCTTGATGCCGCGAATAAATGTCCAAAAACACCTAAATATTTTAAGTTAATTGTTTCATTATCTTACTGCATTGTATTAAATATATTACATCTTCATGATGCTTTTTATAATATAATTAAAATCAATTAGATTTACTAAATTATTTTGTGTAACTAATTTTTATGTTGAGAATAATTTTGTATTTAATCAACCTGCTAAGTATGAATAATAATTAATATCTTATTGCACCAATAATCTAACTTAAAAGTAAGATTGAATATATTTTGAATACTGATGACATATCAAATCATAATTACTTTGAACCAATTTGAGTAGGTACAAATTTTATCGAAGTATCTTAAAATACTTTTAATTACTATTTGTTTTATACATCACCTTTAGGTACTTTACAAATTGAAATAATGTTAGTTTAAGCTATATTACAAGGTTTAATTAATTATTGTCCAAGTAACGCGTCTTTCAGCCTTTCCCAAAAGTTTCTTGGTGAGCCTCGGGCGAGTTCCTTTTCGTCTTCGAGTTGTTTGAAAGCTCTCCACTCGCTGCGAGTTTGGTCGTCCAGGGGTCCCCAATTCGATTGAGGGGATAAAGCACCCCAAAGCCTCTATAAATGTTAAAAAATTGAATAATAAGTAAAATAAAATACTGTTTACTGTTTTGTTCTGATTTTGGCGAAATTTATAATACACAACCGACGTGCGTTTCAAACAATGACTTCTCTATTGCGTATTACTTATAAGTTGTATCTAATTTGATACATAGTATACTTTATACTATATCAAAAACTGTATTTATTACAATTTTGGGAAATTTATTTCACATAAACAGAATAACTTCTCATGAATATTTACGCTGTAATTACTAAGTTAGCAAAAATAGTTAATTTACATTGAAAAAAAAATGAACATTTTTTTTATAAAAGTTTTAGTTATTGATTTATAAATGTGTGCCATTTTTCCATTGAAGAGGTATGTCTTGCCATAAATTTGGAAGATTGGTGAATTTTTGAATAAAACTTATTTTTGAATACTTTTTTTCTGGTTTTGGTATCAAATGATTTATAATGACTGGACTGAACGTCGAGAAAACATAAAATTATAGAGTCAGATTTTCTGGCAAGACATACACTCTTCAATACGGAAATTCAAATGATGAATTTAAATGCGAAATAATAAAAAATAATATTAAAAATTAATATAACAGAAGTCATTCTAGCAGTTATTTTCGATATTATTTTTTATCACTAAATATTTAAGCTAGAAAAGTTTATTACTTTTATTTATTATAGTTCTGCATATGTTCAAATAGTTTAATTGGGCCGTGCAATAATCAAATTATTCCAATTATTTGATTAAATTATCACAATATTTGCTTTTCCGCAAAAAATATATAGCATTCGTGTTAAAGTCAATATGAGCTAATCAGAGTGCAAATATAAATTCAATGTAAAACGTAATCCACGCACTATTTATTTATATGAGGTGCAATAATTATATTTGACCTATAATACTAAAAGTTAGGTAAATGCCATATATGACGCATTGAATATAAGACACATGAACGTATAGAAAATTTACAATATAATTTATAAAAATAAAATTACATACTTGTAAGAAGTTTTGTCCTTTTTGTTGGTATAAAGCCCAAATTGCCCAACATGGTAATTGAGCCAAGCCAGCGGCCGCCAAGCACCAGCCAACAGCTGAAAGGAATAAAATTTATGAAAATTTCAAAAATATTGTTAATGGACCATGATAAACTTTCGTGTTATTTTATATTTAACTTTTCTACAACTGTTATATCTACCATCTGAACAGAATCTCAGTAAATAAACTAGTGGGGTGTGTGGCATGGTGCCTTAAGGCAAATTGCTCGAACTTCCCGTACCGTAACGAAATGTTCGAGGAATACTAAATGTTTTTAAATAGATTATTATAAATATTGTAACATTGTCTTATATTTATAAAAATTATAAACTGAATAGCAAGGTTGAAATTATTTGTTTAAAGTATATTAAAACTTTAGTCAGAATTAAAAATAAAATCTGATTTATTTTTGATATAAAATAATATATACAAAAAAAAATTCGAAAAAAAATTCGAAAAAAAAAATATTTTGAAACAGTTTTTTCTTCCAAAATCAATTATTTTGTTAAAACAAGCAGAAAATTCTTTGATTCATTTAAACCGGACGCTTAGTTCCCTCAAAAACTGCTATTTTTTAACATTTAGCTCTGTATCTTCGAAATGGCTGAACCTAACTTTGCCAAAAACTAATAACCACTTCTCCCAATCATTATTAATTGAATGTTTTTTAAATCATTCAAATCGGATACTCCGTTCTTTCAAGAACTCGATTTCTATTTTCTGCACTCATTGCTCTTTATCTCCGTAACTGCTGGAGTTGCCTTTGCCAAAAACTAATCAGCACATCTCCCTACCAATAGGAATCGAATGTTTTTTGAACCATTAAAATCGACTGATCCGTGCGCCCAAAAACGTGACCGAAAATTTGTATCCATACATACATACACACACACACACATACACATCCATTTATTCTGAGGTATGCCAAAATGTTCAGAAACCTTCAAAACGTCGAGAAATGTAAAAATTTTCAATTTCGATTTATGGACGATTACAATAACTTACCCTGCGGGAAGTTAATAATACTGAAGGGCATTGTCTAATATTTATCAAAATTATATGTACTGAATTGCAACGTTAAAATTATTTATTTGAAGTGTATAAGTGAGCTTCGGAATTTTAGCTAGAATTAAATTTGGGATCAAAATTATTTTTGATATTCAAAAAATAAAATTTTTGCAAATTAATTTATTTTTCTTCGAAATCTTGAAATAAAAAAAATCTCTAATTATATTTCAAAACGGCTAAATCTGTCTTTGCCAAAAACTAATCAGCACATCTCCCTATCAATAGGAATCGAGTGGTTTTTGAATTATTTAAATCGGTTGATTTGTGCGCCTAAAAACTTGGACAAAAAATTATATCCATACATACACACATACGCATTTATTTTATCTAAGGTATGCCAAAGTGTTCAGAAACTCTCAGAACGTGAAGACATGTTAAAATTTTTAATTTTAATATTTGGACGATTACAATAACTTACGCTACGGGAAGTTAAGCAAAAAATAAACTTTATATCCCAGAACGACATTTTCAAACCACAAATATCTATTATTCGTTCTATTCGATATGCACAAACGCATGAATAGACAAATGCCCGGTGGTTGTCGTTGTCCCTTCATCGTACTCACCGTACACATAATCCGGATAATCTTGACCGGCGTACTTGAGAGGGGTCAGAGTCACTAACGTGTATATCAGGATGACGACCATCAGAATGGGAGTCACGACGCCCCAACAGATACGCCAGTAACGGGTTACGTGGCCCACCTTCTCGCCCAGCATGAAGCGGACGTCCCGACAGAAATTGTCCAAACCTTGGGAGGAAAAGATACAAGATTGATTACAATGATTTATAAGTAACTATTTGCATTCGTTTATAGAAAATCTAATGAAGAAGTATATGATACTTTCTATTATGCCTATTTATGTTTTTTTATATATATTTCATTTTCATGGTGAATAGAGCAACCGTAAGCATTCAGAATTGTTATAACAAAAATGCAGACTTCCTGTTTTGGACTATGTGACATCAAGCAATAGTTTTATTCATTTTTACTTCAATATATAAATCAAAACTAGTGAAGCAAATGGCATCGTGCCTTAAGGCAAATTGCTGGAACTTCCCGTACCAATTTTTTTTTCAAAAGATTAACATTTTTCAAAAAAAAATACTCTGAAAAATTAGATTTTTGAGAAACTATAAATTATTGACAAAAATTACTTTTTTTTTAAAAAAAGAATTTATGAAGAAAAGTGTATTTTGAAATATTTTGGAAATTCTGAACTTTTTTTTCAAAGCAATCGTACTGCTTTAACCGAATAGAGACGAAATATCAAAGCGCGTAAGCGCCGCGCCACCGTCTAACGGATAAGCATTGGTGCGGAACCCATAGGAATATAAACAAAATTTATACTTATTGTTAAAATCTCTATAAAATATCTGATAATTTGATGTGCATATGTCTAATGATCATTTTTGACCGCCAGATGGCATTTTTTTTCATTTTTTTACTAGATATCCGAAACCGCTAGACCTGCCTTCATGAAAATTTGATCAGTTCTTCATGTTGTTAATACAAGTAAAATGTTTTTTGAATTTCAAAAATTTTTCATTTTCGATTTTTTTGCGATCACTATAACTTTACCCTACAGGAAGTTAATAAGTTTGTAAGTAGAGACCTTTTTGTCATTACTATAATAAGTTAAAATAAATAAATGCTATTGGAAAAAGACTAGCATGCACTGTGTTATCCCTTGGTATAAGAACAATTAAGTTGAAGCTTTTGTTTATCTTTTTAAACATCAATTTGATAAATGATAATAATTGAATGTTATGATTACGATTACAATACTTATCTTCAGAGAAATTATTGAAAATATCCTAAAGTGACCCCTTCTTTTAAAACTCACTTTTTGTCGAAGATAAGTATGCAGAAGATAGTTAAAAATTACATAATAAATCAATAAAAAAATATATCGGTATATGCTTAAAAATATATTAATGAAAATATTTGAAATATATAAAAAGTCCATACGGAGTTTACAAAATGCCACCAAATATAATTATTTTCCCCATTCCCCATTTGTAATTTCCCCACTATGTAATTTTGCATGATCTTTGAGTAAAACGATGTTTTTAGCCTCTAAGTTTGAACGTGCATTTATTGCTGTTTTTCTTTACCGATTCTTTACCGTTATTATTTGTAATATTGTAGATAGGAACTTATTTTTATATCAATATTTCAATTATCATGAGAAATTATTTACTTAAAACTTCATTGGGGGTTATTAATGTTTGAATTATGTAAATAATTAATATTTATATATACATATAACCAATATATTAAAACACAAGTTCAAGTTATATTTCAAACACGAAACCTATAAAAAAATTTAATATCGACAAGTTAACAAATTTCCACCGTTTATATTTATTTTCCCCATTGAATTACTATACAATTTTACACCATTCTAAAAAAAACTGAAAACTAAAAAAATGCTATTACAGAAGTTTTATTTTAAAAAGCCATAAAATGTTTTTTCTATATCACTTCATTCAGAATTTTTATAATTCCCATTCTCAGAACGGATTCGCAATAAATATCTAATTAAAAACCCATCGATAATTAACAGAATAGCAAACTTGCGTGGCATGTTGACTCTTTATACAACAAAAGCGTAGTTTATTTTTCAATCGATAGCTACAGAACGTTGAACATTTATGTCAATATCTATAGCGTCGATAATTACTCTGTGCCGGAATCGTTTTAATTGGCAATTATTTATAATTGGAAAAAAATTGCTGATATTCAACTTGTCATAGAGTTGAAAATCGAAAACGATTTTTATATATCTTCAGGTTTCAAGACCTACTTAATATATTGATAAATAAAAAAATATTAACTTATAACAAACTTTTCACAAAAAAAATATTTTTTTTATAGTAGTTTGAAATTACTATTTTTGTTATTTCTAATATTCAAGATAATTTACCTGCTTATGTAAATTACCCGAAAATATTTTGAATGATATTGTGTAGTTATTATTATTTAGTTCCATCAAGATTTTGTTTTTATAATTTAGTAAATATTTTTAAAAATGTTAGATTTTTAAAATAATATTGAAATTTTTAGCATTTTTGAAGTATTTACTTAGTTTTGTCGTGTTTGTATATAAAATCTATCGTAGCTATATTTAACCCTTTGCTACAAGCGTTTCCTACAGGGGGCATGACTTCCTTAAAATTTTCAGCATTTTGGTAATGAATTACAATAATTTAATCGTATTTTATACAAATTTTTTATAGCTATATTTAGCCCTTTACATGATTGCCTTTGTGTACAAATGTCGCCTATAGACGACACCCAGTATCCCGATCCTTGCTTTAAGATTTATTACATTGAGTTAAATTATAGAGAATTCTTATTGGTTTTCGTACTTCTTTTTTGAAATGTAAATTTTTAATATATAAATACATTGTTATGGATAATGACTGAAGAGTCTTGAAAGACGTTTTTGTTTCTGGTCAGTTCCTTAACCCTATTAGGCAGCTCGATGTTCTGTACATCAGTATCACTTCAAAAACAGCCGTATCAAGAAAAGGTCAATTAGATTAGTTTTACAAAACCATGAGCAAGGTGCACAACTGGTTGATTATGGATTGTTTGACCAACTTGAGGAACTTATACTCCATAATATATCTTACTAACTAGATGTCAGAAGAGTATCTCAATTTAGCCAAATAGGTTATTGTCTTTGTTATAAACAGAACTTGCAGTAAATTGGCAAAAGGCACAATGACATACACAAATAATGCCTTTTATAAAGAGATTTCCAGGGTGTTTTAAAAATTTGAAGGAAAAAATCACAATGAAGGGCAAAATGGCGCAAGGCGCCTGCTCGTCTCAAAGGGAATATGCAAATCTTTTTGCTGACGCACACTGTATACGGCAAGTTCAATTTCCGGATGAGTTGATATATAACTGATGTGCAATGCTGAAACAATTTTAGGAATTCATAAACGTGTCACGCTGTATTCATACGTTATGTATGGCAGAGAAGAAATATGCAAAGTGCTCTCTCACGGCTTGATTGCTTTAACGTCCTATCTATATTGCTTTTTGTGATATTCCTAAGCATTCAGCCTCAAACCTACATAAGATATTTTTTATTATTTCAGGAGTAATATTGATTCTGACTGCTTGTTAGATATTATATGTAGAATTGTATTTTATAAATATATTAGTTATATTGAATGCTGATATTCACTAATATAAAATTTACAATTGCGATAATCGCTTATAAAATTAACTTCACATAAATCACACTTTAGATATTTATAAATATTTTTAATTGTATATTTTAATTGAACTTTTATGATATATTCTACGATTGTTTTGTGCTATCTAATTAATCTCATTAACTGTTCATATTTATAATGCGATCTTTAATTATTGCGAAATGTGATCACTAACAAATATACCACTTGCGTTGTGATTCATTATTAATGTAATAAATATTTTAATTGCACTGTTATCAAATTATATATCCAACTAATTATACCGAGCCAGAACATGAATGTTGACACAACTCTAATCTATATTGATTTAGTAATAACCTGATCTTCCATCTCAATCCTAAGTATTTTTTAGTGTTTTTGTATATGAAGTTTTTGTATAATTCTATTTTCATTCATAGAAGAAATGCATATTTTGTCTTTTAATTTTTGAAAATAAATAATTTTATTAAAATTCATACCATATATCCAACTGATTGCCAACATTTGTGCTATCGCCAAAAAGAAAACGATGAATGAAGCTCCAAAATGATCCACAAGGTTTAAAACGGCTTGGCCTCCCTGAAATAACATGCATTTACTAAATAAATACATCAAATCATATATATAAAGCCAAGCGAATATGGAATGTTTTAATACAGTTGCTTCAATGAGCAAAGGTTTTTAATAAAAGATATTTTATGCAAGGATAAACAGCAATATAGAAATTTTTGGGGGATTTACACAGGAACACACATACACACACATATATATATAAAATATATTTTACTGGAGTTTTAATAACTTCAACAGAAATGCAAAAGTAATTATTCCATCTAATTCAATTCATGCATATAATTTACATTCGATTTACTTACCGGAGTAACATAAACTGTTCCCACGCAAAAACCTACACAAGCGATTCCCACTGCAGCTTGCCAATGTTTTACCTGAACAAAAAATTGTATAACATTTCAAAATTAAGGTGTTTTATTATTAAGGTAATTAGTACTTTTTTGTACGAAAAGATTATGACTTATAAATAGGACGTGCTTTATATTGGAACTTATAGTTAGTATTCAGATACGATTTTCTACTCTAATTCATCATCGACATCGACAGTACTTACATTTCCAATAATTATCGTTAATTATATTAAGTTTATATATTATTAATATTGTTATCTTTGTTCTTTTGTAAAAATGTTCTACAAAAAAGCAAAATCCTATATTAAAATCCTAGTGGATTATAAAATTAATAAGATTTAAAGATTATATTCATACGACGGGGAACTTTACCATCTATAATTAGCTAATTAGTAATTTTAGCCTTCAGTGTTTTTGTATATATAATATATCAACCACTATCAATTTATATATCAACTAAGCTATGAAACATTTGTTCCAAGAGTTGGGTAGAATTAATTAAAACTAAAACTTTTGTCTTTGAGAAATTCAATGCAGTCACTAGTCTTAATTGACGTTTTAATAGAAACATCCTGAATCTACCTCGTAATTGCAAATGTTCGCTCTTTCACGTAGTTTTTGCGCTTTTTCTGCAAATAAGTTTTTTACGCTTGCATATCAATTAATTCTTCCTGTACGTGCGCTGCCTGCGCCTGACGGCATTATAGCAAGTTTGATATTTCTAGAGCTATTGTAAAGGAGTGTAAAACTTTCTTAAACCTGAATGTGGTATATATATACAGAACAAAATTTTTGTTATTTTTTCCTTTTGCTTATACACTAAATTGGTAGTAAAAGAAATGAATGAAATAATACCATAGCCATAAACTTACTGTATGTTACTTGTTGATGCAAGAAAGTCTTTACATTCATAATATTACATGCCTCTCAATTCCATCTCCAAATGTGCTCATATATTTTCATAATTCAATCCGTTTGCAGTGATCTTTTATCTGAACAACTGTAGTCTACAGTCTAGACTAGACTGTAGACTAACCATTGAATTATTTCTATGACGCCCGGGAAAGCTCAAAGCGCGTGCAATACGATTTCGAAATATAACAAGCAAGAAACTTGAGTACTGGCAAAAAGATGGGAAAAGCGCGGAAACTTGTTTAGAGAGACAATTTAGAGTAGCGCATTCGTAGTGGTTTACCTGAGGAAAACGATCTCTTATAACCGTCATCATGCACGAGGCCATGGCGACGTTGCTTCCTATTCCCAGCACGAACAGCATTAGAAAGAACAGCACGGAGAACACCTGCAAAATGTGGATAATAAAATTAGGCTGAAGCATTGAATACAAACCTGCATTTTCGGGTTGAATAACTAATTTGGAGTGAATTATCTCGAGACCAAAAAGGCTAATTTAATTTTTTATAAAATGTTGGATATTGTGGAATTTTGCTGAAGAAAATGCCTTAAAATATATGGTCATATGTTCTATTACACCTTATAATGGCTTTAACCTACAAATTTGCACATTGAATTCGAAGCCATGAAATTGGTTAATGATTTGCCATTTATGTTACAGGAATATTATTTGAATATCGGTTAAAATTCTAAGATATTTATGAAACTGCGATTTCGTTGGCAAATCGTCATTGACAGAAAAATCGTTACAACTTTTTTTATATATATTTAACTTTGCATTTGCAGTAGCTGCATTCTGATTATTAGATATTACATAGCACAAATTGATTTTGGATTCGATCCCCCAACCTCAGCTAAGCTCGAGATCAGAAAGTATATCAAATTTTCATTAGATATTATAGATTTCAAATATAATCTCAAGTGAAAATCGCTTTCAGCAAGTATGTTAATTCATGCATGTTCTAAGCCATTAGTTAATACTGAACAGGACAATTACTGGGTTGCCTACCAAAAGCAGACCATACACTACATGACAAATATAATTGCTAATTATTCTTGTAATATAGACAAATTGTAAATAATTTTTTGTTAGAAAATAAAATAAAAAGATACTACATAAACGGTTATCTTATATATAAAAATGGATCGCAAAATCTGTTGGTAAGTGCATAACTCAACAACGCCTGAACCCATTTGGTCAATTCTTTTTTTAAAATGTTCGTTGAAGTCCAAGGATGGTTTTTACGGCAAAAAAAAACGAATAATTGCCGAGAAAACCCTAAAAACAGCTCTTTTCTTTTTCACATACAAACGTTTTCTAACTAAAACGTAGAATCAATTTGAGCTTCAATTTTTTTATAATGCCTAAATAAATGAGGTGAATTAGAGAATTTATAAAGGTAAACTGGTGGACAGGTAAATTGAAGCGTATGTAAAATGACAGAGAAGAAAACTGGTAGATAGGCGAATATGTAGACAAATAAACAGGTGGACAGATTAATTGGTAGACATGTAGAACGGGATGGCAGGTAAATTTGTAGGCCGGTGAAATGATAGACTATCAGTCTTAATAGGTTAACAGGTAAATTAGTAGACATTTTGTTAAGCAGGTATATTGTTCAACAAGTAAATTATTGAACAGGTTAATTGGTAGACATTTAGAACGGGATGACAGGTAAATTTGTTGACAGGTAAAATGGTTGACAGGTAAAATTATGTATTGATAAACAGGTCGATAGGTAAATTGGTTGACAGGTAAATTCGTAAGTCGGTAAAATGGTAGATTGATTGACAAGTTTATAGGTAAATTCGTAGACAAATTGTTGAATAGGTAAATTGTTGAATAGATAGTAGTAACGTTAAACTAAATTTAACAAATACACGTCTTTGTTCAACTTTTTAATTTAAACTAAATCACGGCAAAGCGTGAACGGGTACAGTTAGTTCTAAAATAAATTTTCAGTGTCAATCACTAAGCAATGACTTTTAAACCTTTTTCAAGGATTTACATTTTTTCATCATTATAATACCAATTTTACAGTTGTGATTAAATTATTCTCATTTACTTTGAAGTGATTTTTAAACGATCAAATATTAAAAGTTGAAAATTCAGAAGTAATTTAAGGACATTTTAAACCATATTATCGAAAATATGAGGGCATTATGGAATCCAACATGCAATTCATAAGGATTTTATCTTTTGATTTTTAAGGAGTCAATATTTATTTATAATGATTAATAATAAAAACTATTAAGTAATAAAATGAATTCTAAACATAGACAATAATTTCACTATATTTGTATGGGTCATCCAATATTTATTGCAAATTAATTAATAAGCTAATTACATTGATAAATTTATTAGATATTACACTTCTAATATAACTATTTTTTGACATTTCTATTGAAGGTGTTTGATTAATTGATGAATTTTCGGTACGTTGGTACACATAAAAACACCAAATCAAAAATATCTAGACCTATAAAACTACATTTACTCTGAACTACTTGACCAATTCCCAAATAATTTGACCATTCTATGGAAAGTGTTTGCCAACGTTCAAATTCAATCAACTCAGTAGTCAATATAAATGGATTAAATTGCCTGCTTACCTGTGGTAGATAGGTGAATTTAGCAATAGCGTCCGGATAAGAGACGAACGCCAAGCCAGTTCCCCCGCGCACGACCGAAGCCACATCGTCCGTCCCGGTCTGGTGGGCTAAATGGCCAAGTATCCCGAATATAGTACAACCGGCCAACATCGATGTCACTGTGTCCAGAGATGTAACAATTAAAGCGTCCCTGATAAAATAAATTTAGATATAAATATATATATATATATATATATATATATATATATATAAATATATATAAAACATGGAAACCTAAATTAGCATTATGAGTTATCCGTTACAAGTCGTTCATTATGCTGCCCCACCAATGATCGTCGGAGCTTGAAATCTTTATCAAGGTCAACTAGATGAGTCACGAAATATCAAATATGAAAAAGAAGGAATAGGGCTCAGTACAAATTTATATATATATATATATATATATATAAATATATATGTGTGTGTGTGTGTATGTATATAACGAATGCTGAGTATCAACTAATAATTGTTCTTCTTCAAGATTGATATCCCTGATGGATTTGCTTCTCACGAATTGATTTTACTTCTACTTCTATTTGCCGTGCGATAAATCAATTGGTAACGCCCTGCGTTTTATCTCTTCTAAGCCTAACGAAAAAGCGTAAGGAACGTTTCAGTTTTTACTCAATTAAGCTCATTCTATCTAAAACACAAAAACAATTTTCCAAGCCGCCTCAACTACACCCATAGGCATTTTCTAGTCTTTCTTCTGTCTGCACTTAATCCTAATACTCTACTACATCAATGTGGGAAAAGTTAGGAAAATAAATTTGTGCGCTTTCAGAATACAGATGATCTACTTGGAAGAAGAGAAACTTTGATGTCAAGACTGTTTGAATATTTAAAATATTGTTATATAATGCATTTTAACGAGTTTATTTGGTCGAAATCGTTATTTAATATTTTAATATGGGGCGTAGTAGTCCAAAAGTCTATTTATATATGAATACTACCTTTTCCTCAATGCTCTGTATGAAAAAAAAATAATTTGAACATTCTATTTGAATAATATATTTACATTTTTCTACCATAAGAAAGTTTGAATTATTTGATTAAGTTTGCAAAACTTTCTTATATCATTTTAATTTTGAATTAACCAAGAACTCTGACACCATGATAACGTCGAAATTATCAACGATATATTATAGAAAATGACACAATGGTGCAACCAACTATTCAACTAACAAAAAACTAAAATTTTAAAAATGTTTTGGCATCAGGTTAAATTGTTATTGCGAGCTTGAATTTTGTTTCACCAAAAAGAATGAAGCAAGTGGTCTATATTTTCAAATCTGGAGATAAGGATCAATGTTCGTATTTTTCTTAGCCATATCTATTGCAAATGGGATTATGCCATAGTTGACCATTTTATTGCCATTGTTCATCTCCTAAATTTTCTGATAAGTCCTATGTTTAATATATTTTACTACCTCACAGACTTAAATACTCCATCGACTTCATGATTGAAGTTGATTGACAATATATGCCAAGAGAGGGTTAAACGGTCCAGAAATCGTTCCGGTGTAATTTTCAAATATGTAAGATAAATCTAGTTAGTTTCTCATATAAATCAGCGTTACACGTTCCAGTAAATGCATGTGCTCTAAATCACATCATTACCTAACGTTCGTCTACTGGCACGCCTCCAAAGGTCGCAGCCCGGTGGCTTGCTTAATTCTCTCTCATATGCCCCTTTGCATACGCTCCACTTTAATAATATGGAAGTTCATGGATAAATCCTGTTGATACGATTATATGCTTTTGAAAAATATAAGGTAATGGTTTATCTACCCACTTACCTACGTACTTATAACTTTAATAATTAATTTTTGTATTTAAATGGTGTACTAACCATTCTGTTGACTATTGGTATTGGAATATTATACAAATTTAGAGTAGAAAATAAATATTTCCCTTATTTTTAAACTTGAATTTTGATTAATTTTTATTATTAACCAGTTAACTGTGGGGCTCCCATCACACATTGCGCACAGTTTTATGTCGTCCAAATCGAACATAAATTAAGTGTCAATGTAAAAGTATTATTTAAATAATTAAATCTATATCTGATTAATTAAGTATATTATTTCCATGACGAATATATTCGACAATAACAGTTAACTAATTTATTTTTTTACTGGTTTGGTTTTGACTGTCAATTCTAACATCATGCGATCGTATACCTGATGTTCATAATTTTCTATGTGTAATATCCATCAATTTTGTTATTTAGACGCATTTTATCGACAATAAATAATTTACTGTATGTAATAAATTATATGATGTGTCAGTGTTCATCACCCGAACTTACTATTCATAATGAGAATATATTCCAAAAAATTGGACAATTTTCATCAAACTAAAACATAACTCGAAAAAGCACTATCTTCATTTGAAAATATAAACATCGCTCAATTTTTAAGAGTATTTAAATACTTTTAGTGTTTTGTTGTGAATATTAACTCCAACACAATGCAATTATATCATTAAATTCCCTGATATGTAAAGCTGAGGTTCTCTTTGATAAAACAATAATTTGTAGTGCAATATATTTTATTTTATTTATTGTAATTGTTTGAACAGTAATCAGAACTCTCATAAGTTCTATAAGTTGTTGATTAAAACTTATGACTATTTATTTCATGAGAGGCAATCCATCGATTTACCATTCTCTTATGTGTGGGATATTTTTGATATTAGCTCTTACGTCTAATAGTTAACATGTGATTGGGAGTTGCAGCTATGTCCACGAAGGACGATTTTCACTTGGAATTATATTGCGATTTTTATCCCCAAGTAAAAATTTGACATCAAAGCTGGTTTCGGGCTACAGCGATAGCGGGAATCAAACCAGCGAACCTGGGACTAGTTGGGCGATTTCGCCACCGCTGGCTCTGTGGTGCAATATATGATTATAAATGCACCAATATTTTTATTATTGTTTAAAACTAGAAAAAATTCTGTTCGGAATAAATCAAATAGAATGACATTGCTCAGTAAACGATCTCACTTTATTTTGAGTATCAATTTTTTTAAGTTTAAGCCATTGATGACTTCAACCCAAAGGTCGCTCGTGAAACAGTTGAATTAAGGTATATAAGTCCTATTTTCGTATACTGAATTTAAAATTTATTTTCAAGGAAATATCCGATCAATAAATTTAATCAAATATTCAAGTCTATTGTTGAGAAATAAATATCGATCGATACTATCGAGCAGAGTATTGTAATTCATTCAGCCTCTAGGCTAATGTTGTCGTGTGCCCCTTTACATACGATGAACATTAAGCCCCGGCATTGTCTTACCTGTGCACGTTGTGTCGGAAGCTATTATACGAGGAGTACATTATGATGTTGCCAAAGCAGACGGATAACGAGAAGAACACCTGCGTCACAGCCGCGTACCACACCTGGAGAGACGAAAATCAATCATTTTTCTTATCGATATTGTTATTATTATTATATTGCTTGAAAGAAAGCTTTTACACAAATCACACGAGAAAGAGTTTTTCCATGAAGTATTATAAATTTTTAGCGTTTTTGCATTATTTTTAACTTCTACATTGTCTTAATTTATAGTAGTCTCGTTGTAGTACACAGACATATACAGGGTGTTCCAGAACCTAACGTCAAGCCGAAGCTAGGTAGGTAATCGTAATAAAATTATACAGAATCAGAATGAAATATATCTGTTTACATCATTTTATTATAGTTTATATTTTTTTTTCAAGTTGGTAATTTTTACATATTTTCATGCAATCATTATAAGTTCGAGCTTTTTCTACAGTTGCAACAAGGTTTTTCTTCTTTTATGTGCGAGACGTTGAAGTTATTGATGGAACTATCACAAGAAAGTTTTATGATATAATAGAGTTTGTTCTGAAATCATCTCAGAAAGTTACTCTTGCTTTATTAGGTAATTCTTCAAGTCCGTTGGAATTTCATCGAGTTTGCCTTTATAACACTCGTGTCGAATTTATAAATGTTCAACGGCGATTTATAAACGAACACTATTGTATGAAAATTTGTAATTAAAACTTCATAATTCAATTATGAATTTGTATTGGTTACTATGCTGATGGTAAATGAACAGATTTTTGATTTTGCAAGCCTCTATTGTATATTTTATCGAACAACTGGTATATGAAATTCCCTAAATTTAAAATAAAAACTTTGTGTTTCAATTATAAACTTTCAATGTGTTTCATAGTAATAGAATGCAGAAAAAAATGTTTTGCTCTATTCAACAAGTGCTTGATTAATTCATTGATTAAATATATATTTTGCAACATACACGCGTAGGCAATTCGTATTATTATGAGTTTATGAATTAAACTTATTTGTAAAACTTATTTTATTTGTACGACTTGAAGTTTGTAAAAATATTTTTTGACTTTTAGTAAATATGAATTAAATATTTAAAAAAAAAACTACTCACTTTTGGATTCAACAACTCTCCCCAATTCGGCTTAACAAAGAATAATATACCATTTGCGGCGCCAGGTAAAGTGACGGCTCGTATTAATAAAACCAGCATGACCACATATGGAAAAATTGCTAGAAAATATGCTGCTTTTCCTGAAGTTTTCACTCCTTTTAGTAACATCAAAACAATGGATGCCCATGATATGAATAGGCATATTGTCAATTTCCAATCGGGCATGCCGACACCATCGGTCAAATCAGGATTCTCGTGAAGAACCTCATGTCTATAGGTGGAAAAAAAATTATTGTAAATAATTGGATAATTTTTATCAAATTAATACGTAATAAAAGAATATTAGTAATTGTATATGTTAACTGAAAAAATAAAATTATCGTTTATTGTACTTAGATGAAAAAGAATATGTGAGCAGTGATAATTTATATATGTATAAATGTATATTATCTTTATGAAATCTGTGTATATAAAAGCATATATACATTTCATTTTTTATTCGTATATATGTAAGTATATGTATCTATTCCAGATCCTAAGCTCCCGATTCTAAGTAGTATATGTCTGTGTTAATAATGACCATATTACATCACTGATGTGCAAAATTTACGTTATTTTGTTATATGTGATTTATTTGAATTGCATGTTATCACAATAACGATTACGTACCTTCCTTTATCTTGTCTTCTATAATCTTCTTATTGAAAATAATACAGCCAATTTGGAAAAGCAAATGGTGAAAAAGATATATTACCGAAATCCCTCGGTCGAAAATACATCTTGAAAAAAGTCCCTTGTTAGAGTGAAATGCAGCAGAACTGACAGAAATGTTAGTAAATAAAGCAGGATGGTCACAAAATACCTTCTGAACTGATTCTTATAACAAAAGACTACTATGGAAAATCTTCGTGGGGGTTGTAGTAATATTTTTTAACTCCTTAATACTGACAAAGGACCTGAAGTGGCGCGTCTCGAAGCAGCCGTGAAATTCTAATATCTCACTGCTGACAACCGTTTCATAATATTTGTAATGCCCTGAAGTTTTTTAACACCTTGATAAATTTATGCTCATTTTTCAATTTTCTTTATGAGAAAATCTTATGCGAATTTTCTATATTCTTTGTGTTCTAGCTTTTGGTAGCAAGAGCTAAAGTGTTGAGATGCGTCATATTTGCTGATTGATGAATGAGTTGAAATTTGAAAAGTTGACCTAAGAGATGTATATACAGGGTGTCCCAGAATCAGAAGCAGGGTGATAGTATTGAAACTAACTATAAAATAAATTATTCTGTGTGGTTTGAAAACTATGAGCTTTTAAGTTCAGTCTAGAGCTTTGATCAAATTTGATTATTTTTCGGTTATTCTGGTTCATTTTTGATGTTATTTTTATTCATTTCATGTTTGAAACTATAGCAGTTAATTACATTTCTAGGTCCACAGTAAAAAGTAATGACATGATTGACCCAAGTTATTTTAAAATGACTATTTAAACTATATAGTTACAATTATCAAAATTGGTCGACTTTGAAAGACTCTCCTTTGAAAAAGTGTACTAAAATGTATTTAATTATGATTCTACTATGGTAAAATGATTGTTTCGTAGTAATAAAATCGAGTAAAAAATATAAATCTATAATTAATACGATTTTTGTAAGGCTCTAAGTCCGAGGCTGTACTTTAATTTTTACAATGCACGGGATAAATCAAGTTCTGCAATATATATAAAAAATTAATTAAAAAAATAATTATTACCTGTCACTATTATTTTTTCTAACATTCAACAAACATTAAAAATAAAAGTATGAATTTTGTTAATAATGAAAATGCTTCAATAATAGCATTGAATCAATAAATTGATTTTTTTCCCACAACCTTCTGCGTTTGAGTTGACAAATGTGGATAACAGCAACAAACATAAAAGCGTACATCACGTTTTTTGTCTAAAGATGAGAATCCCTAACTCACATGAAATAGAGTTCTGCCGATGGCATGAGCTTTCCATCGACGTCGTTACCATTTTCCGTTCTTTGTGAATAAATCGGTTCCGAGTAGGAAGAGGTTTGGTTAATTCTTGAATCAAAGCAATTTTCCGTCCACCAAGAACGACAGTATGCCCACGGCAACGGGTCTTGAAACGACGCAGAGAAGTAGATCATTGTCAGTGACATGAGGGAGCCGTAATACGAGGCAAGGTACACCACAGCCGTCAGCTGCCCGTAACCGATTCCTTAGCATGAGCGAAGAAAAAGCAGAGAATATGATGATATTAACTTACATGCAAAGTTAAGGGGGTATTCGAGTCTAGAGGCATAAATTTTATGCGATTTTTAAAAGATTTTCAAATTACAGTGTTATCCCTTCTTATATTCTTAATAATCTCTACCTATTGTTTTTTGTTCAACATATTGCAAAATAAATTGAATTAAAAAAAATTAAAAAAAATTGAAAGACCGAAAAAAATAAACGATACTTTAACTATCCATATTTTTATAAAATATTGATTAATGTTTTACGAATTCAGAAAAAAAAAAATAAAAACAACAGCAGTTTTAATTCCAGATTGTGACAAAAGTGAGAGTCTCAAATAATTGGCATGTGACCATACCGCTGATTTTAACTCTTTAAATAATCCGATGAAAAGATTGTTAATCTAAAATAATGTCAATATTGTATGAACTACGGACAAGTTAAAACACATTGTTCTAAAAATAGCGACTGTCTAAACAATTTTTTTACAATTTTTTGATATTCTAGAATTTTTAATATTAATCGATTTAAAATCGAAATTAGGAGGATGAGCGTAGTTTATACTGATGAAGTTTCTAAAGAAGACTCTGTAACAATTTCAAGTAAATCGGTCCAGTAGATGTTGAAAAATCGTGGGTATCGTATCAAACAGACAGGAGGATTGTCGTTGTCAAATAGCTATACCTCCGAATTCACTTAAAATGTTGAAAATCCTCGTGCATATATATTCACAAAGAGTTAAACTTTGAAAATATAAAAAAATTCTAAACATTTGATTTTTTTACTTCTAGACTAGATTACACCCTTTAATTATTACTACTAAACCCATATTAGCCCAAAGTACTATTTACAATTAGCAAAGAAGAAACACTTGCTCTTACTTATTGCATTATAGAAGGCTATAACAAAACAAAATAGCATATCTTATGCACATAAATTATTGGATCATATGTAATATTTTTAGATACAAATACAAAATCTATAAATATTCCCAAATAATATCTATAACTAAGTTTTGAGTTAAGCATGGGTTATTAATATAAATATGATTTTCCAAAATAGTGCTAAAAAGATTCTTATAACTAAATAAAATAAGTTGCAAACTTTTTTTATATCTAAATTTTCGATTGTAGTCATTGTGAGTTTAAATCGTTTTATACATTTTGTGAAATAATAGATGATAATCAGCAGTCAGAATATTCGGCCTGTAATCATGCAGATTAAAGTGAATTTTAGTATGTTCGAGTATTTAAATATCTCTCTTGTAGTAGATGAATACCTATTATAGTTAGTTTTCACTAATTAAGAATCCATTTTAATTATATGGTAGCATAAAGAGCATTTCGTTTTTACGACGGAAAATAATTATAATTAGAATCGTATTGATTCAATATCTTTCCTACTTATGTGTATAAGAATATATATATATATATATATATATATATATATTTGTATATATATATATATATATATATATATATATATATATATTTGTATGTGTATGTATTGTATGCGTATATATTGCCATAGAAACGTTAATCCATGACCTAATGAAAATAATATTTGCATTTTAATAATATTTGAAAATAATAATATAAACGTTCTTCTATTTCTATTTTACTTTTTGGAATCTTGAATTTAGTAATCATATATAATAAATCTTGGTTTACTTTAAAAATAGTTTTTGTTAGCACATATCATAAGATTACACTATATTAACGCTACATTAAGATTTTACTTTACATGACCTATTCCAATATATTTTATAATAACCCTTTCTACACGGATGCCGGCGGCAAAATTCACATTAATTCGGCAATTCGCGAGTGGAAAGGGTAAAATCTCTGTTCAAGTAAACCATCGTTAAAGCACCTGAAACAGTTAGAATCATTACAATTTACTCAGAAATATATTTAGCATGCATACCAAAACCTAACTTTAAAGCAGACATAGAAAAACCACCAAATACGTATTAGCCCATGTGTAAGAACCTCAGCCAACATAGAATTTCTCGCTCAGTACTTACATGAAGTAAAGTTCGCTCGAACTCTTCTGCCCTGTCATTCCACTTAGTGTAGTAACTACGGCAGTGTCGTTTACAGACGTTTCTTCCAATACGGAATTAAAACAGTTAGGGCCCCATTCGGGCCTACAACGGGCCCAAGGCAGCTCCGCACTCAGGGATGAATACATGTAGTGAGCGGTTAAGGCCATTAGCGACACATAGTACGTACTCACAACAGCTGTGCACAGCATTTGCCCGTAACCGGTGCCTGAGAATGAACATGCGAAATTTTTGGACAAGTGCGAATGACACATAAATGGGGACGTATGATACACATATTTTAAAAATACATTTTTCAGTGTTAGTATTAAATTACGTTACAGATGTGCAACAAAGGTAAAATTATTAGTACTGGACAACCAGACAATATATGTAATAAATTTACACTTGTTAATTTGTTCCAACAAATATCCATATTTAATTAGAGATCCAGGGTACAATTACCCGATAAAATAAAAAGGTTATGACAACACAATGTTACGGTTCTGTCTTAGTATAAATTAGTAGTAAAAACTATCAAAAGTCTATGTATTTTCTGTGCGATCAGGCGTGTTACACATAAAACCTAACTTCACGTATGTGTTATCCATGAGACATCAGAAAAAAAACACTTACGATAAACTTGTCTTGTTCATATGTAAAACGCCTGATAAAACAGCTTTTCATACACAGCTTTTTGACAGTTTTTACAATCAGTTTATACGAAGATAGAGCCTAGGATAGGGATAAATATTGTAAAGGGTTTCAATATATATTTTATTATAGACTATTTTATCTTTTACAAAATTCTTATGTGAACAAGGCAGGTTTATATGACATCGGCTCTAGTAGTGTCAGAGATTTGTTACACCTTAGTCTTTCTAAAACTATTTTATTAGTTTAGTTTTAGTTTTATTTTTTTATCATACTTTTTTTAACTCTTTAATTGCATAAAACTAGTTTTTGAAATCTTATATAAACTCAAAACAAAAAAAAATAAAATAATAATCTAAATTAGTGGTTCACGATATTGTGCCTTAATTGCTAGAACTTCCTTGCTTAAAGCGTTGCTTTAACATTTCTATTAATTGGCCACACAGTTTTCTTGCATGTTACTTTTAATTTATAATAGTTTATAAAATTAAATATTAAATTTTATTATGTATTCTCATTTTTTTCAGATCTATCAACATACAAGTGTCATCACCAGTGGATCCACAATCTTGAAGGATTTTGGAGGGCATAACATCAAATTAAAAAAGATAAGTTTGAAGCATTTTTATTTTTCCAGGCATTTCAACATTCAATTCATGTAATCATTAGTAGATCTATAATTTTGAAAAATAGACAGAAATAGAAATGATTACAACTAAATGCATGAACATTAAGAAACTACTGATATACAAAGGTGTACTTAAGCCGATTTGGCCAACGCACTGCTATTCATAAAAACAACACGAAGACTCAAAAGAAAAATATTTAGTGATTTAATTAGCTTGTAATTACTCGTGTCACATTACATTACTTCTTATGAAGGAAAAATGCAACTGTGTATTTTTCACTATTTATATATCGATGTCATTTTTTATATATAATTACTAAAAGATTTACTTAATGTCCATGTAGGACAGTTGTAAATTATATTATACATTGTTGAATAAAAAAAATTTAAAAAAATGCATGAACATGGGAAACATACATTTAAATTGTATCATTTTCATCTTTGTAAAATTGTTGATCCCCTAATAATTACATAAAATTGTACGTAAAAATGTTCCTAAGTTTCAACATCGTAATTAACTATTCCTAATGTAAAAAAATAATACGTAATACTGTCCTAGAACAGGTCCAACTGAGTTAAATTCCAACTTGATTCAAAGAAGAGTTTCAGAGACTTTCCATTGTCATTTTATATAGCAGTTTCCGAAATGGGCTATTTTCAAATATGCACTTATTTTGATCTATAGTTTTAAGTAAAAACTGATATCACTTCTGCATGATATCAGGTTATTCAAAAAAAGTGACAAAAAGAGTCAGAGAGAATAGATAAAGAATTTAAATATAGAAGTAAGGTCATGATACGAATACACGTTCTGGGATTCACTCATGCGAGACGTTTTTCACAATTTGTGTTTCTAAATATGCAAAAAAAAATTATACTAGATGAATTCATTAAAATAGGTTTCTCTAAATGAATAATCGAACTGTGAAAATAGTTTCACACGTTCACAGAGAAATGATCATAAAATACAACTAAATGATAATCTTGTTATTCCATTGAAGTTAAATTAGCATTATCATATCTATTTCAATAATTTATTACTACTGTATGAGTATATATTAAAGCACGGTTTTGATTTCCAAACACAATTAACATATGCGCATTATGTATATGGAAACATACAACATTTCCACAATGTACATAATACGGATAGAATCAACACATAGTTCACAATGAACAACAATGAAAAAGCATTCTAAAAACGTACTAACATAACATACACAAAAGCTTTGCATTACTTATTCAGTTCGCTTTCCGCACAGACGAGGCTGAACGAATATAAAATATTATTTATTTTCCAGATAATTATATAAGGGAATACCCATTTGGATTTTACAAACAGTTGGCGGAGCGCCTAAGGCGTCTAACAAAGAGCTTTTTCACTCGTATGAAAATTATTAAAACAAAGACTGGGCAGGAATCTGTTATTAAATTCTCTACACGCAAATTCCGTAGAAAGATACTTTCAGAATGTTTGTACTTTACGCATATGTTAAGCTGTTAATAAATCATTCATTCTTCCTTAATTAAGATCAGAATTACATTTGGAGGGTATCTTAATGTGCATTACAGGTCATGGTATGAATGTTCACATATTTTCCCATATTTGAGGTCCAGAATTAAAGTTAGAATGAAATGAGACGTTTGTATTGATTCTAATCAAATGAGATCAAGTTTTAATAATTACGCTGACCTATATATTAAATCATGAATAATTTAAATTATTAACTGCATTTTTAGTAGATTATCGACAACACCAAAAGGGGAGTGATGTGGCACCACGACCATGTACCACGAATTGGCTTTGCAGAAAATGCATAAAAACAATATTGTCCAAAAATTAGTTATTCTTTAAATGTTGAAATTTTAAATATTTATATTATTTCCAATTAGTTAATATACTATTTACATACTATTTATTTAATTAGTTAATTAATTTACTTGATCCTATTTATAATATAAGTGAAATTGAAGCACCATAGTCTAGGTTTTCGTAAAACTTTAAACAACTTTTGAGTCAGAGCAAATTTTGACTGCCATCTAATGACATATTTCAATATCATATATATTTTCTAGTTTGGCAATATTATTTACTTGTCATATTATCATTGTGTGCTAGATTTCTCAATTTGTGGAATGCTCTACTCTAGTTACCAACTTTTCATATATCTCTTAATTTATGCATGTAATCTTTTTCCTAGTGATTGTTAAAAAAAATTATGATTTGTGTGTGAAAAGTAAAACGGTTATTTATAGATTAAAGAATCCATCAAATTGGCTGTTATCAACTTTATGTTAATATTTGACTAAAAGGGGAAAGATATAAACCGTTTGTTAGAATTGCATTGTCTTGTTCAAAAAACGTAATTTAACATGTACATATATATATATATATATATATATATATATGTATATATATATATATATATTTAAGTGTGTATAACTTTATAATCATTGCCACGTTGCGATTCTGAAATAATATCATTTGCTTCTGTTGTTTGAATTGAATGGAAACTGAAGAAGGTGCTCTTGGAATGTAAATACTCGCATATTACAATATCAAGCCTATCTATTCCGTCGAGGACTTTTGAACAATTCATCTCAATATAACAATTTAACAATTTATCATTTCGACGCGCCTCATTGTCTACGTTGGAGCACACTATAGAGAGAATTCTGTAATGCAAGCAATGACTCATAAAGCACGTCGTGCATCTGCAATAGTCCGAGAGTCGACGACACAGTAATAGATTGAGATATTTTATTTACATTTTTTTAAATTTGCAGTCTGCAAATAACTATTAGAAATACTACAAATGCTTGTTAATATTTCTATATAACAAATTTTTGCAAAGTCTACTACGAGTAGTTTAAATCATTATGGATATTTTTGTATAGCAAAAATCAACTCCTCAAAGAATTATGCCAATATTTATAAGAATAAAGACAATCTCAGTTTGGTTGATAATTCAGCATAGTTCATCCAACAACTCCGTTATGGCAATCGTCTATATTTATTTAGAGTAAATAAAACTAAAACTTTATATTGTTATACAGTATATTCTAACATTTGTGTCCAATCCCGATATAACTTATTTTTAGGCAATGTGTAGCAAGCTCTCCAGGTTACCTCTAGTAGATATAATTTTTATTAGTCAGTTTTGATGTCGAATTACAATAATGGTTGATTAATCATTTCTGATAAGAAAAAACAAGACTATTTCTAGAAGTATACAAAGACTATTTCTAGAAGTGACTTTAAGCATACTTCATCAGAGTCAATTAAATAAACCCTGTAATTAACTACATATATAACATTTTATTTGATTTCCTCTCCCTCCAGGTTGATGCGAACTTAACAAGCACTTGAAATTGTAAATTTCATTGTACAAACATATGCACATTTTGTATGGACCACGTCCGACGGTAATTCTATTCCATACCGTTACAAATGGCCTCGTAATTATTTTCTGCCGCATGTTTTAGTTCTGCATTTCAATATAACGAGCGCCGAAAAATTACGTGCTGGCGAAATGTTTAATTATGATTATCACTTTGGAATAACTAATGTGAGCTTTTTTGCTAATGCGAAAATTATAGTAACTGTTTGTATACTATTGTCTTCGCAAAAAAACAAAATATTATTGAACAAACTCCCGTTCTTTTTCATGGAATTTTTTTGATTAGATTCATCTTCAAGATACATGATTATAATCAATACCAGAAGTTGTCCAAAGATCTTTGAATTAGAAATGGGGCGATAATACGGTTAACACAAAGGACACTTCAGAAATGAACAAATCCAGAAAGGATTGATTCAACTATTCTACTCATATAAGTACAGTATATAGCTAAATATATGCAAGTTTGTGTAACCACAATCAAATATGGAGATCAAATAATATTCGAGAGGGTAAAACGACAGCAAGAATTTATAAATTAGACAAAAATTAATCGTACAATAATGGTGCCTATACTCTTGAAAATCTTTTTTCTTTGTTCCTTAAATCTAAAATATTTTGTTTAATAATTAAACAGTTCATATGATAAATAAACGTGCAGTCTGTATAAACAATTTTCCTTCGTACCTAAGATTAAAATAACCATTCATTTGTATTTTCACCACTGACCTCTCATTATCGGTGCAAAATCATAAACTTTAACACTGCCTCGACTCGAAAACTGCCCTATTAACATTTCCATGTAGTATATCGGTTTACCGACAATGAGCAGGACTATCAAGTAGGGTATCAGGAAGGCGCCTCCACCGTTTTCTAAGGCAGTAAATGGAAACCTCCAGATATTTCCAAGTCCCACAGACATTGCGATACACGACATCAGGAATTCCAGACCATTGCCCCAAGTGTCGCGCTCTTGATTAGGAGTCTCCGATATCTATAAACGGAATTAAAGCCAGATTTGTAGAAATGATTAGGAAAAGAAACAAAAGCAAAGCGGTAATCGATACAAGATTAGTGAGTAACGAGAAGTCGCGGAAGGAATAGAAATAGCGTTCTAGATTATACTTACTTTTTATTTTCTGTATTTTCGCGTTTATGAAATGTGGATAAATTTTACCAAAATTGAACTAAAACTCAATCATTTTATTATAGGGTAGAACGGGGCACAAAGGTCCAATTTGACCTAAAGAAATTATCCTGTCTAATCCAGATGCAATACCTCACAACACTTATCGTGTATTATTCAAGCAACTTTCGAACTGTGTTCAACAAAATTCCCTGTTAATTCCTAAATGTAAAATGTTACCGTTTTTCTAAAATTTGTCATATTTTCCTTCTTACCCCATAGACTGGATATTTCTCTATTAATTTTTTTATTTAATTTAAATTACAATTATTTTTAATATAAAATCAAAAATAGAAATAAACTTTATTGTTGTTACAAGTTAAAAACATTATTGCTATTTTAATATATGTGTTTATAGAAATAAGAAAACCCTTTAAATAAATGAATATTTTGTTATTTTTGCTATATATAACTATTAGTTAATTGAAATAATATTAGCTATTTTATCCAATTATTTTTTGTCAATTATATAACCATATTGTTTATTACCTTTACAGATACGTCAACTAAGCAATCATAAATTCCACAACGTTTTGATTAATTTACTAAAAGCCAACAGTTTTTATGACATTTTTGAATATATGAATTTTTACTTAAAGAAATACAGTGGTACCATCTCCTCCATATTACAATTATGTATTGTTACTAATTATATTTAATGTCTTTGGCATTTTTTGGCTATAACTGAGTTAAAATTTTCTTTGCTGTAAAATATTATTCTTCGTCTCTGATACTGCTCTTTTTTTCAGAAAAGCTTTCAAACTTTTTAAAAACATTCTGCGAATCAATGGATGTACAGGACCTCAACTTTTGAAGATGCTCTAAAGTCTAAACGAAGACTTTATATCAAGTTTCAAAAAATCAAGACACAAAATTATTTTAGCATTCCTTAATTTGTATTTTATATATTAGTTGTTTTGTTATTTTTTGAAAAATGTGAATTGTATATCTAATACATCTAATACTTTTGTTGTTTGCTTTGCGGCGTAAGAATAAAAACTGTTTGTGGTAGTTATTGAATAATAATCTTCCAAATGAGCAAGAAATAGTTAGCTTACCTCATCTCCTTTTTGCTTATCTCCTATTATTATGGAATCTGGAATTTCTTTGCCATTATCCGAGATGTAGCTAAGATTTACTTCACCTTGCATCTGTAAAAAAGATTAAATATATGAAATAAGTATCTATTTAATAAATTGTGCAATTATTCTGCAATTGTGTATTATGTTTTATGTGTACGAGTAAACAAAGTCACTATCTTTCAAATTTACTTATACAATTTACTTGTTAGAATGTTTATTGTAACAACTTCTCTATATTATGTCTATAAAATTTATGACTATGAATAATTAAGAAAATTTCATAATAAAATATAAATACAAAAAAATCTTCAACCAATTATATTACGTTGTTTCTACCAAATTCAGCATATTTTATTAGTTTGCTTTCGCCAGCGATTAAACACCGGTCTCCATAAATTTTACTTTAAACAATTAAAAGCTTCATCCGCACCTTTTATAATTCCATTGTATATTTTCTTAATAAGACGTACAGAAGGCTTTTCATATGGCGCATGCAGTTTTCTGAAAGGATTCATTAGAGAGAAGAATGGAGGCTTTTGTTTTGGCCGCCTCGTCGTGGCCGTAATACAATCGTCCTTTTCGGGCCTTTATATAATCCCAACTTTTGCCTAGCTAAGCTCAGTCAAATACAATTGAATCCTTGCCATGAAATTTTGAAAGAGGTCTTGTGGAATCTTTTAAACTTAAGGAATATTTACTACTTTAATATTGCACGAGCGTTCGGTAATTAAGCTCAGCTTTAGCGACGCAAATAATTGTGTTGTATAGTTTTTGGAGCTTTAGTAGTACTACTTGCTTCTGGTCATTAAAACTTGAAATGTTATATTTGACTAATAATACACTTTGCTCGATTTGTTTATCTTTTTATACTATTGATAGTTAGCTTCAATTTTACACATATTATATCATATATTTTATTTATTGCTGCTGGCTTATTTTAGCTTTTAATATCTATCATTATATAAATGTAAGGAAAATGACTATAAATTTTAATTGAATCTTAAAATTTTCAGAATAATATTGTAAATTAAACTTAAATTAAATTAAATATAATAATTATTAATTAAACCTACTTGTTCACTACCCTACATGTCTACAAGGAAAACATTTTTTAATGGGCACTAGCAAACTGTGAGCAGGAAAATCGGTCCAAAGACATATTGCCTGTATACTTCATGAGTTTAACGATAGTTTAAGCTTTTAGATAAATATTCGCACTTGTAACACAAATCCTTAGGGATTGCAATATATCAGCATTCGTGAAACGTGTGCACTATCTATACAAGGATTTGCGGTGGAAAAGCGTTGAAAATAAATAGAAAATATTTATTCTATGTATTTAATGTGTATTTAGACAATTAATGCTATAATGGATTGATAAATTGTATGAATATTTTCGAAAAGATTTTTATATTGTACAGAAAAAATTTGGTAACTATATAGGATTTTTACCGAAATATTTAATATTATTTATTTTTAATAAAATATTTATATATTTGATGGGCTAATTTTTCCGTAAAGTAGACTAATATTATGGCGAAGCCATATCACGCCGTGATTTTCATTTAAAATGATACTAAAAACTGTTAAAATTCTATGTTTTTCTGTGCAATGTTACTATTTGCTGCTGTTATATCAAAAACGGGTGTACTATAAAATTTATTCTATAAAACTGAATAAACATGCCTTGATTGAATTTATATAAGATGATCGCTGAGCCGTTTCTTTGATTATCTAGAAAAAATGAAAAATTTTTTGTACACACAAATCTTTAAAAGATTTTGAAAATTGAAAAATGTTTCCAAAGATATCAGTTGAAAATCCTGTTGATTAGCAATAGTTAAGAACAGCTTTTCGAATTCTCGTAATTAGTTGTTGAAAATTATTTTTGACCATTTTGATAAAATTTGATCATGATCATAGTTTATTAAATGGTTAATATCAATTTGGTTTAATTATGAAAAATTATCAAGATTTGGAATAATAGATCATGTCAAGATTCAAAATTATATAGTTATAATTTTTAAAAACAGTAAAGCACAATGTTGATTTATTTACACATTCTAGGAAGTTATTGTTGATTCAAAGTGAAATACCACTAACACCAAGTTATTTTTTTATTATAAATTTATATATATATATATATATATATATATTTATATATATATATATATATATATATATAAATATGTATATTATTTATGAATTTTATAATAATTAGCATAACAAAGCCTTTTGTCACGTTTGATAATAACCAGAGATCATATAAAAGCAATGATAAAACCAACGCTGCATACGCTGTTTGTTTTTAAATATTTTTCATTAATTATATTGTAAAGCAATTTGTTTGATGACCTATTTTTTGTTTATATTTTTATGAATTTTCAATAATAAAATATTATGTTTATATGCATGCAATAAAAGAGTTAATTATTGAAATATTTTTTAATTTACATTACTCAAATTAATAGTATTAAATTGCAAGAATTTCTCTTGCAGTAATTTTAGTTTTATTTAATAACATTCATAAAATTACAATATTTTTCAGATCAATAATAATTAATTGAATTTTTTTGAATTCATATTTATCTGGTAGGGAAGTTAGAATTTGGTGTTACAATATGTTTCGAATGGTAGGAAGTAGTTTTAATCAATCGATAAACTATCTATATCTATCTGTAGCTAACAAATTCACTCCACGATAATCACTCTGTGCAATATTAATGAGCAATTCTTTTTCTTTCCACTTTGAATTGAACTTTTTTACTCGGGCTCTGTGTAAATATTTAATTTTTATGCGCGCCCATCTCTGGATGCTCATCAAATATCCAGAGGGCAACAATATAAAATAGTATTTTTTATTTAGGTTACTCTTAAGAGCGGACGAGCTATTCGAAGCGAGTATTTCTCATTCAATTTTAATGGTGTAGGTTCTCTTTCGAAAACACTTTACACGTCCTTTCGATACCATAAAATTCAACCTCATCTTCATTCAAAAGCCCGGACGCATTAAGATAAATAATAAATACGAAGTGCAACGGCAGAATGAATTTTTATGCTTGCAATTGTATAGGGTAGAGCGGGGCACAAATGTTTGAAAACCAAATCAATAATATCACAACAAACAACACGTGTCAAACAAACAACTATCTGACTATTTTCAGTAAAACTCCCAGCTCATCATTACAGAAATATTGTTTTGCTGTTTTTTTTTTAAATTTGTCACCTGGTCAGGGGGCAAAAGGTCTTATATCCTATTTTTAATTTCAAATGGATTTTACGATATAATAGTTACATTATTCAACCAATGGAGAATATAAATTTCATGGTTACATTTTTCACATGGATAACTCTATATATATATTTGATCTGGCATTTTGTCAGTAATAATCATTAGCATAGTTAGAATAACTATTTATTTAAATTCTTTTTAGTAAAATTGCTTTTTTTATTTAATTTACTTTCTTATTAACTATTTTTTATTTTTACGCCTTAGCCAGGATAAGGGTTCTGATGGTTCTTTTTACCCTCTCTATATGTAAGCTTTTACACAGGTTGTATAAAACATCTGTTGAATCTAACTTAAAATTAACAATACATCTAATGAAATAATTAAATAATGTATATTTAAAAATTATAATTAGGTCTCGTCAACTAAACAACAGTGCTCACAACCAAGAAAACTAACTAAAGAAAATACCTCCTTTTTACGACGTCGTAAAAATCAATAAAATGACTGATTATAAATAATATGAATATAAATAGTAAACCATATAATGTCAACGACCAAAAAACAATTTTATTATGTTACCAAAATAATTTAATATTTAATTTTTAATTTTTTATTCATAATTGCACTTTTTACTAAGTAGTAGTGACAAATTCTAAAGTAAAATCTGAAATTCTATGTGAAATTATGAGACCTGAGATATTTTAGTAATTACTAAGAAAAGGTAATAATTTATGCGTTGTAAATTACCTTTTTTAATGCTAATTTTAAAGGTTTAAAATTACTACAAAATTGTAGCATATTAGTAATAGCTAATGATTACCAAAGTACTGTTATTAAACTTGTACTTACAAAGCTTTCATAATAAAAAAATAAGTATCAATTTCAACACTCCTAAGTAACCTTCGTATGTCATTCATAAAGCAAATATATTTGCTTTTATTTCTTCTCGTGACATAAAAAGTACTTTTGTGACTCATTATGTTATTTAAAAATTTAAGTTTCCGGTGATTAAGATGATATTCAATAGTTAATTATTACTTAATCATCATTATGTGTAATTTCGCGTCGACGCTTGTTTATGGTAAGAGCCTAAAAAATGTAGCATTTTAATTTAAATTTTAGTAATGTAGTAATTTTGTCAAAAATTGTCAAAAAAGTTAGTTTTTTTTATTTTTTATTTGATTTTCCGAGCACTACAGACTTCAAACAAAAATTAGATAAATTGCCATGTTGCCTAAAGTAACGCCAAAACCTATATTTCAATTTTTCTAATTCTTGCCTAATAAATCGCAAAAAACGGAAATATAGCTA